GGCGAGAGGGGAAGCGGCACTCGGGCCAGGTTTCGGTTTTGTGGTGTCTGTGAGGTGAAACCCGCCCGGGCTCTGCTGGAGCCATTTTATGTTGCTTTATAACGAGGCGACGATGGTTGAAAAGCACTTATCCCAGCCCTGCAGGATCGGCTAAACGAGGCGAAAGCCCTTAACTTTTTTCCAGCGAGCGAGGAAGTATTTATTTTAAGAAAGAAAACTCTTACCCCCCCTCCCCGGTCTTCACCTTCTTGTGCTTTCTGCACCTTCTTGGGTGGCTTGCTGTTGTACTGGTATTCACATAGGTTTGCAATAAGCAGTCACATAAACCTGCGTAGCCACCGAGCCCCACCGATCGCTTCTTGCCTTTTCCCCTTTCTACGCCGCAACCGGCCCCGAGCCCGCCCCCGCACCGCCGAGACAAACCGGGAATCCAGGCGGCCCGGCGCGGGCTTGGCCCCTTGTTTGTGGCGCTGGGATCCATCATGGCCGCCCCTGCCTTTCTGTCTCCCTGCGCCTTGTGTTCCTCCTCCCTGCGGCTGCCCTGTTTATATAGAGCTATTGCCGCTCTCTAATATAGACTCTGCCTGGATGGGAAGGTGCTTTCCAGCCCCACGTCACCGCCTCTCCATTTAAACACCACATCAGCCTTTAAATAGGGAGAGAGCCGCGGAGAGCGGGCTGGGAGGTGCATGCATCAGAGGCAGAGGCTGAGAGACAGTCTTTTTGTCACTCGGATCCTGTGCCGGGTTTAGCTGGGTTTGCTGTTGCGCCCGGCTGTTGCTCTTCAGTCCCAGTCGCTGGAGCGAGCGGGCTGTAAAGCAGTTGTGCTTTCTGTCGGCTCGAGTAGAGGGGATGCTCTCCTGACTGGTGATCGCTGGTGTAAATGGACTTTCCCCTGTATTTATGCATTGCACAAAGGAAGGGATTTTTCACCCTTTCCCATGTTGTGAAAGTGTTTGTTTTTTGTTTGCTTGTGGGTGGGATTTTTTTTTTTTTTTTTTTGAGAGTGCAGAGTCCTGTGTGC